ACACACACACACACAAGAATGGAGACTAGGTGGAAAGGGAACTAGTGGGAGAGGCATAAGAGAAGGCAAAATTAGCAAAGTATAACAATATGCATGTATGAAAATGCCAAAATGAAATTCATTATTTTGTATGCTAACTTAAAAAAAGAATAAAAACAACAATACAAACAAACATTAACAACAGAAAAAGAAAGAAAACACTTTTGAGCTTTTCAACATGTGAGATTCTGCTGATTCAACAGCCTCCCCATATCTACATTCTAGTCAATCACCCAAAGCTAAATCCTTCCTCATGAGTTTCCCTGACCCTCCAGGCTCCTGCAGTCTCCACCTCTGCATGCTACAGCCTGCTCTGTGCACACTGTTCCTTTGATCAGCACAATCTTGAGATCTTTGTTATGAATCATTATTTCACCTTTTACAATTTTAACAGTTATACTACAACAAGGTGCTCTCTGGGGGCTCTGTAATTGTTCCTACAATGTCTGTGTTGCCTGGCACAGCTCATCATATACACTAAGGCTAAATATTTTCTGATTTATCAGTCAGTCAAATGGGACTTGGATGGGGGCGTGTTACACTCTGACAAAAGAATGGGGGAAACACAGGACAGAAATCTCTTTGTTTCAGTCTACAGAAGATGAAAAGTAAGTGGACAGAGAGGGTGCAGACATTCAAATGGAGCTCCATTCAACACAACAGTTGATTAACAACTGACAAACACCATACAGCATTGGCCACTGTCAATGTTCCCAGCAAAGAGCCCACAAAGAAAGTCAACAGCCCATTTCAGTTTGTTTGATAATGAATGGAGCTACTGCAGGCATATAAGAGCAATCTATAGTATCATCCTATATATGTGCAAACTCAAGGCCTTTTCTTGGACAATCCCTTTGCTTCCAAAAGTAATTTCTTAAAACCTCTCCTTTGCAGGTTGTCAGCATTACAAGTGCCACCTCCTCCTAATCATGGTTCCCAGCCTCTATGAAAAGGCCAGAGCAAGAACAGAAAGCTGGACTCAAGAGATCTGAAACGGCCTCCCATCTTACAGATGAGAAACAGAAGAGCGCTTGTGATACTGTGGAATGAGCAGATGAATTTGGTCAGAATCTGTTTAAATCTGGCCTCCTTCATTTCCCTTGTGACCTAACCTTGCTAGGCTTCATTTTCCACAAAGTGAAAATGATAAATGGGAAACAATACACCTGGTGGGACCATTTGAGGGTGAAATAGAATAAGGATCACAAAAGTGCTGACCATACATAAGTGCTCCCATAATAGGAGTCCTCAAAGGGCTCACAGTTAAGTCTCCATCCTGCTCGTCTCCTTAGGATTCTCCGAAGAAAGATGTTTATTACAAACCTTCTGTTCATGCAGAAGCATGCCAGGGTAGAGGGAAGCCACTGAAGAAGACAGTAAGTAGCTAAGGAAACAGCAACTGTGTCTGCTCTTTCCTTTCTTTCTGACTCTAGACAAGGCCACTTGCAGCCAGCTGGGTGGGGCCACTAGAAAACAGAAGGATCACTGGGAGGGCAGAGGCTCCTGCTGTGGCTCTCCAGGTCTAGAAGTCAGTAACTGCCCAGCTGGCATGGGGCACGGTGCAATCTCCCCTTGCCCACACCAGTCAGTTAGTGTGCAGAAAACATCAGCTCAGCATTTGCACATACTCAGAGGGAGGCAAGGTTAAAGGATGTGGCTTTTCAACATACCCACCCCACCAAGTCCCTCCTTCTACAAGGGACTTCTATCAAGGCAAGCAGACTTCTAGGTGCTCCCAACCACATCTCAAGCTCAGCAGGAGGGATCATATGGGGAGGGGAGCCACTCTCCCTCTGGAGGCAGGGGGCTACCTCTTGCCCAGCTGGTCTTTGCAGACTTTGTAACAGTACTTCTGGAAGCCAAGCTAAATGATGAAATTGGCCCACAAAGAGCAATTGGGGCAACAGCTATTTAATACCTCAGAAGGGGCTGGGCTCAAAGCTTTTCTTTACTCTAGGGAGCTGCATTTTTCTAACATTATTATTCCTTGGACTGGCTGCTCAGCGTCATTTCCCTTTTGGGTGGGAAAGTCCTTTCCTTCTGTGTGGATTCTCATTATGATTTCAGCCCTTTTCCCACCTGCCTGCTCCCTCCACCATCTGCAAATCTCACAATGGAAGCAGGGCCTGTGGACTGAAAAATTAAACTTAGTATTCAGCTTAGACTGTGGCTGAGGGGACCCTGAGAAGTAGGAAAGCAGGCAGAAAGAGGACATCTCTAACTCACAGCCTGCTTTCACCACAGGCTGAAGCAATAAATGGCAGCTGCACAGCCAGCGGGATGACAGGTAGGCACAAAAGCCAAACAATGGCTATACACTCAGGGTGCTGTTTTCTGGGGACTCACAGTGTAACCCAGGCAAATAGCTCACAAATGGAATGCAAACACAGCTACTCAGCAGTGATCTTGAACTCTGTCAGGAGAGAAAAGGTAAAAATGACCCCCTGGGAAGGAAAAAAACCTCTAGCTCCTGCTATTCACATGCGTGTGTCTGGAAGCTCAAATCATGAGGGCCAGGCACTGGCCACCAGCACCCCCACAGCAAGAAGGGGCTAAGAGTAGTTTCTCCAACTAATAATGAAGTACATTATTTGTAAGACTCTAGGCTCATTACCAGCAGGAATACCCACATCCCCAAACACAAAAATGCAGACACGGAGCCTGGGTGACCATCTGCTGTAGTGCTGGGGAGGACAGATGTCAGCCAAGGATGGAATGCATGATAGGGCCTCTGCAGGCTGGAGGAAGTCCTACCTAGTGATGTGTGATGGCCAGACAAAACAGCCAAGAAACTTCAAAGATTGTTAAAAAATTCTGGCTCACTGAAGTCATTAAACTGGTTTTTTTGTTGTTGTTGTTTGTTTGTTTGTTTTTTTCAGTTTTTTGTTTTTCTTGCTCCTAAATAACACTGTGTGAGGCACTACCAGAAACTAAGTACAGGACTAGATCCTCAGCCACACTGGTAACTTCTAGAAGTTTTCAACAGGTCGTGGGTTTCTTCTAATCCTACCTTCTAAACATCCTGGCTTAGAATGAGCCTCTGACCATCTGTGCACCCTGTCAGTCTTCTGGGGACACTGGAGGATATTAAGGAAAAGTCTGGACTATTCCAGCTCCTCCCCAGCTGCTTCAGGGGACTCTCCCAAAGCCTCTATCACATTCACCCCAAAATGAATGAAACAGGGTAGGTGCAGAGCCATGACCAGCGGGTTATCTGCTATGGTTGTGAGGAAAGCATGGATCTTTTATGACTCCAATTCTTATTTTTCCCTAACTCAGCTGACACCATAGTCCCTGTAGTCTCCACTACATCCACCTTCCTAGGAGCTGTGGGAATCCCCAGCCATAGGAAGGAGAGTCCACACCAGCCTCCTCCTTAGTCAAGTCAACAAGGGAACAAGGGTTGCACAGCCTTCAAAGCCGCTTTCCTCTTTCCTTCTGTTCCTCAGCTTCTGTCTTGGGCTGGTGACTTAGAAATTCATAAGGGCAAGGTGGTTTGTGATGATGAGACTACTTTAGACTTGCAGGTTTTACAAGGGTGAAAAAACTTTTCTTAATTCTAGGAAACATCCCAAGGTTACATGGATGAAGAAGTTCAAAGAAAGTTCGAGAAATCTGATATATGTAAGAGAACTGAAAGCTGGACAAAAACCTATCAATCTTGGACTAAATTTTAGCACTCTTCACCCAAACTCCAAATCACTGTCGAGGTGACAACCAAAGCGACCCCCCAACGCCCAGAGAGTGTATCCAGTGTTACAGAAAGGCAAGGCTACCTCCACCACAGACTGACTGCTCACAGCACTTTCTGTTATTTTTACTTTCATTTTGTCACACCATCGCTAGGAGGCCAGGAGGAATGGGGGCTGTTACTTCCATTTCACAGATGGAGAAACTGAGTGTAAAAGACAAGGCCAAGGTCATATGGCTTTGTATTAGAACTCCGCCCAGAAAAGAGGCTGGAAACAAAGGCGACAGGGACAAGGGGTCAGTTCTTTTCCTGTGAGCAGGACAGACAGCTCCCGCACGCAGAGCAGTTTGGCTGGGGGAAGGAAAGGGGAGGAAAACGACTCCTGGACCGGTCCGGGTCTGTGTGTGTCTTGGAGGGGTTTGACCCCGCAGTCCCTGCCTCAAGTTCCACTGCTCAGAGAGTTGAATAGGTACATCGTTTGTTTTAAAGTACATCCTTTGTCCTTTTACAATAGCCTAGGTGCCAGGCGCTTTTTGAAATCCGTTAGCTCCCTGGCAAGTCAGGCTGTACCTGGAGACACCCGTTCTACATCTCTAGGGGTAAGGACTGCAACTGGGGGACCGCAGCCGGAAGTTATCAACCCGCACCCCAGCTGGGAGAAGCGCTTCGGAAGGAGGGACACTTTTCCTCAGAGGGAGGAGGAATGTGGGATACCCCGTGCGAGCGAAGTTTTCTTCCCAAGCCAGAGAACGGATGGTACACCTCAGTCCAGCGGGCGTCCCTCTCTCCCTCCCGGGTCACCCTCTGGGTCCCACCTGCGGGGCGGCACAGCGCAGGGCCCAGGGTGGGCTCGCAGCCCCAGACGCCCACGCCCCCAGCCCCCGGCCCGGCCGGCTCTCACTCACCCGCACTCGCGCCTCTGGGGACGCGGCTGAAGCGTCCCCGTCGTGTCGCCGCGCCCGGCCCGGGGGCCGTGTGGCCGGGACCCGGCGGCCCCGCGCCGGGGAGGAGCACCGGGGAGGACGGTGGGGC